ATGTCAAATAAAATAAATAAATGACACAGTTTAAATAAAGTAAAAATCAGCAAACAATGTAGAACCAATTAAATAAGAAACAAATGTTTAAAAAAAACTTCCAAAACCACCTTAGATAAACGACAAAAGTCAACAGGCTTTTCAAAATCCAAAATATTGCCAAACAGGCGCTTTTGCATCTAGTTTCGAAACTAAATCATCTGTGATCGTCTTGTCTGTCTCACCTCGCCTCACTCTTCGTGTCAGTCAGCTCGACTCGCTCTCCTCACTGGAGAAATTAAATCTGATCTGTGTGATGCGACTATCGTTCGGCTGCAACTATCGTTTCGGCGACTATCGTTTCGGCTGCATTGAGTAGCTGCGTTCAGTTTTTAATTGTAGTGTCTGTTCTTTTACTGAACTAAATGAATTTTATTACTATAAAAAATCTAAACGACGGTGGGGGTCGGTAACGCGGTGGGCAAGTGACGTAACCGGTGTTGCGGCTTAACACCGGTATCACCGTCAGCACCGTCTATCGTGGCAAGCCTAGTTCTTAATGCATTTTTAATAGCTAGATTAGAGTTTCTCTCAAACAGACATATCTCACCTAACTCATGTGGCAGCTCATGACACAAAACGGCCAGTGATGTCGCCAGTCCTGAACGCCACGACACGGAGAACGCAGCGCCCATGGCCAGACCGTCTGCAAAGTTATGAACGCCGTCACCGATGGTGATCATATACGGCAGCAGACGCTTCTCTGAGGGGCATGAGAAAGATACACACTCAAAATCATAAATGACGTTATTCAACTACAAAAATCACCCGCGGATGAAACTCAAAATAATTCAGCAAAATGAAAATGAAGACTATAATAGGACAGAGAGTTAAGATTTCTAAAATGTTAAATATTTTTATTTTGCATTTTAGAATACATTTTTTTCACCATTTAAATTTTATAATTTAATTTACTTTAATTTTATATTTTTGTAATAGATATATAATATAAATGACATAACATATAATAATAATTTAATCATTTTTTACAATTTAAATGTAACTAATAATACATTTATTTTTTTAAATGAAAATCTATCTTGTCACAAAAATAAAAAGCTCTCTCTGTATGTATACTGTGTATATAAATACACACCACAAACTTTTGAACAGAGCTTTTGAAACAAAAAACATAAAAATACAAACAAATTTAAAATACTCATAAGAAAACTATAATAGTACCTCAATAATACTAAAATAATACTGGTATATATGCATACAAATATGACAGCAGACACCTTTTACACCATCAGTGCAAAGTTTACTTTACTAACAGGTCATTTTACTCTCTTAAATGTGTCATGTTACACCACAAACATGTTATGAACTCTAATAGGCGTGTAATTATTTGCAGTCATGGCTCAGATGTGTCTAACACAGACCGCTGACAGCATTCACTGACCTCGTGTGCTGCTAGACGGCTCCAGGATGGACTTCTCATTGTTTTGCTCGTCCACCTAAAATCAGTACAAACTGACAGCATTACAAAACTGATGATTACAGAGGAAGTCTGAGATGAATTCAGTGATATTTCTGCACTGATAAACTCTGAATTTGATTGTAAAAAAAAAAAAAAAGACATGAAAAAATGATACCCAATGCATGATTGCAATAAAAAAATTATTCTACTCAGTATTTTTGTCTTGTTTTTTTCAGTACAAATATCTACATATATATATAAATACGATTGAAATTGTGAAAACAATTCTGAATTTAATGGTCAAAATTATCAGAAAAATCAGACATGTTATGGACAAAAACTATACACACTGCAAAAAAGAACAAGAAAAAAAAAAGAAATAATAGATGAGAAAAATCCCAAAGTCCACCTGTGAAACTTTTCTTGTCCAAATAGGACTAAAGCTAACCTAACCTAGAAAACTAGGTAAAATTAGGTAAATATTAATTCACTAATTAAACAATGAACACCAACATTTCTGATTCACATGACAATAAACTCTCAGACTATTGTCTGTAAATCCTGAAATTACCTCAAATTTCCAACAATTATTTTCTGGGTTTGTGAAATATGATTTCACCCGGCCTCCTCAGGGAACAGTAGTTCTGTCCATTTTTGTGTAGTGATTTGTAACATAATAACTTCTTATTTGGCCCACGTTCACACAAAGACGACTTTCTCACCAGCTCCTCCTGTGAGGTGGAGTTATTGTTTTGCTGGGTTCTCTTGCTCTGGAACATCTGCAGAACTTTGCTGTGGTCACAGTGATGAGGCTCAGACTGCCGGAGCAAACAGACAACAGTGGTCATTTACAACAAAGAAAGACCCTTCAAGGCAAACCAGCTCATCTGGTGGCCATTTCTCCACTTCTTATTATGTTTTAAGGCAATACATACAGACAAAACCATTCGGGTATCATGCACTGGTCAGCTATGAGATTTTGGGGTATTTTGTTTCTATAATTTCAGATGTCTTATTTCAGACTAGTGGAAAGAAACATCCAAAATACACTTATAAATGTTTATGACCATTTATCTATTTGTGTCTGTAGATTTCAATTACAGTACATATCTTTAAAGGCTGTTTTGTTTTTTCTCCTGCAGTACTTACATACACCAAACTTTACCGTTTGATTCCTATCTATATTCTGAAGGTTTTAATAGAGAATTTTGTGCATATATCATTTGTCTGATTTCTTACATTTTATTCATAAAAATATGGCTGTTGACAGTGTTTTCTGATTGAACTTTTCTGATAAATTTATTACATCTGCAAAATTAAACAAGAAATTTGACGTCACCCACTCCATTATGATGATGACCATGTCGAGTGATGATAGCGAAGATGGCTTCCATCAGATAGAAGACATAGATGCCCCCAATGACCACCAGGAGTTTGTAAACATAGTCGAGGTTCTCCTCCTCATGACTGTGTCCTTCTTCATGTCCATGAAGACCTAAGAACTACTCATACACAATCAGTCACAAAGCAATGAAATCTAAAGGAACAGTTCACCCAAAAATGAAAATGGGCTTAAAATCTACTCACCCTCAAGCCATCCAAGATGTAGGTGAGATTGTTTAGATTCTATTATGCTATTTTTAGGGTTCCTAATTTTGTTTTGGGAATCTCGTACAGTAGGTTTACATGTATGCGAGGTCAAAAAACGCTTTCATTTTCTAATAGTGTGCATTTAATATCACCTCATTTTCCAACGATTCTCAAATAATTTGTTCGAAGCAGTTCTAAGATTCAGTCTCTCTAAACCCCTCCTTCCTGTGAGCCTACTCTGCTCTGATTGGTCAGAAATCCCAGTCTGTTGTGATTGGTCTACCGCTTTGGGGTTGTATTGCTCTTATTTTTAACCACTGATTCTTTGCAGCCTCACCTTTCGGAAGTGAAAATAAAACGAATGAACTTCCACAGTGTAGGACGCAGCGTCTTTTCGACATGTTTACCACACAAACAAACAACAGTGTTTGAAAGCAGGTGAGCCAATGTAGAACATAGCATTCATTATGCAAATGCATTACCCCGTGACATGTAGCCATCACGGAAGTGGGATTCGAATTACTGACGACTCGTTTATGCTGATTCTTTCTTTTGGGAGACAATAACTTGATTTATTTTGCACTTTCGGGTTTACACCTTTGCAAATCGTTTACATTCACATACAGCTACATTACACACTGCTGTAATGATGGATTTGTTTCTTACACGCAGGCTTCGACTTTGATAGATTGGAGTGGTGTGGATTATTGTGATATTTTTATCAGCTGTTTGCACTCTCATTCTGACGGCATCCATTCACTGCAGAGGATCCACTGGTGAACAAGTGATGTAATGCTACATTTCTCCAAATCTGTTCCGATGCAAACTCATTTTGGATGGAACAAGGGTGAGTAAATTTTCAGCAAATTTACTCTTACTTTTCTGTTTATTTCCATTTAAATGAAGACATTTTTGAGTCTTTTTTGCTGGCTGCTCACCATAGGAAGCAGATGCAGAAGAGCGTCACCTGTGAGGGATCCTACAGCCAGACTGATGCAGAACTGGATGCACATCTGAAACACTTGCGTGCACCTGGAGAACAGCAGCACCACGATCCCAAACATGGCCATCAGACAGATGATTATGTTGGCGAGAGTGGCATATCCATATCCTGGGCACAAAGGGCTTATTCAGTGATTGTATAAAGAGATCACTATGTCACAGGTATGCCGTCGTTCAGACTGGTTTTTGTAAACAGTTACAGGTCATTCAGATGGAATCTGGTTTAAGCCGGAAAATGGTGCCAGCTTTGTTCTTCTCCAGGAAGAAATAACTAAAATAATCAGTCACAGTGTTTAAAAATACTCTTTGTTCTGCTGAGGTTAAGAGATTGATTCCAGCTAGAACTAAATATTGTGGGAGAACCAGAAAAGCCAGCAGTCATGTATCATTGTTGTATAATGTGTCATGTTTCTTATACGCAAACTAAATGTAAGTGATCATCTAAATTTTCACTATCATTGACAAGTGCATACAATAAAAAAACTCAAAGTTTCTAGTTGTAGTATTTTTATAAGGTTTTTAAGCTTTTTAAGATATTATACTACCGTTCAAAAGTTTGGGGTCAGTAAGATTTTTTAAATGTTTTTGAAAGAAGTCTCTTATGCTCACCAAGGCTGCATTTAATACAGTAATACTGTGAAATATTATTTTTAATTAAAATACCTGTTTTCTATTTGAATATATTTTAACATAATTTATTTCAAGCTGTATTTTCAGCATCATTACTCCAGTCTTCAGTGTCACACGATCGATCAGAAATCACTCTAATATGCTGATTTGCTGATCAAGAAACATTTTTTTATTATTATTATCAATGCTGAAAACAGTTGTGCTACTTCATATTTTTGCTGAAACCATTAGACATTTTTTTCAGGATTCTTTGATCAATAGAAAGGTCTAGAGCAGCATTTTTTTTAAATAGAAATCTTTTGTAACATTATAAATGTCTTTACTGTCATTTTTACAAGTCTAACTATGCTATGCAACTCAGACTAATTGTTCAGTGATGGTCTAATGGTGTAAACAGAGGTCACTCACTCTCAGCGGTGCTCAGAGAATCAGGGGTCATGTGGGTGAAAGTGATCTCAGAACAGCCTCCACTGAGGATCTGCTGAATCAGAGCAGGACTGAGCTGTGTGAACTGATCTCTGGTCAGCAATGAAGAGTTCAGCTGGTAGATCCTCAGAAGGTCTTCAGCACTAAAACACATCTGCAGGCAAAGCAACCAGAAACAACCTAAGACATGCATATATTAACAATTTAAACATTGCATATATTAAAATATATTTTTTTGTCTTCAGTCACTTTCATTGCTCTGACAAGCATGCATGCATGCATTAGTGTGCACTATTATTAGTTGCATGAATGTCAAATGACAGGCTTTAGTAAGGGTATTGGGAACTCTACATCATGATTAAAAATAAACATATGTACTGCTTAATTTCACTCTACGGACAGCTTGCATGGTCTCAGATTGTCACAACATCCATCAAGACATCTAAACATCACTTATTAATGTTGATATGTGATGTACAAGCCTCAAAATAATTTATTGCCCAGCTGAATGATTGTCCACTTCATCAAACTCCATATGATTTGATTTCTGCAGCATGCATTGATTTCTCATGATGCCCCGAGCAAACATTGCTGTATCTTACCGTGTCCCAGCTGCTGTTGTTATGGTGATCGTCCTGATGACTTTGTATGCGGGTTGGTCCACTGCGGTGGGATTCATCATCAATGTGGGCATCATCATGGTCGTGTTCATCTCTGCCCAGGTTTAGCGTCTTCAGAAGCTCTTCAAAATCTGAGTAACAATGTGATCATTAAAAATAGAATACAAACGTTCAGCTTTAAACCGAATACTGTTCTTAAATGCTTAAAAGCACTTCAGGAAATCTACAGAACATAAACAAGTATTAAAAACATAAAGCTGCAGCCAGAAGAACCTTTTTAAGTTGCATATTAACTGGTTGTGCTAGAAAAGCCAAGGTTATGCATTCGATTCCCAGTCCAGATGCATGAACTGATAAAAGTTTTACTCTGAATGCTTAGAATAAAGCATCTGCCAAATGCATAAATATATTATAAATAAAGAACAAAGATGCCTACACTGAAAAAATGATTTTCTTACTTAAATTCACTTAAATTATTTACTTAAGAAGCAAACTGACTTAAGATTAAGTGCTGTTTCCTGAACAATTTATCAAAAGTAAGTGAGTTTGTGCATAAAACAAGAAAAAATATCTGTCAGTGTGGTCAGAAAAATAAACCTGCATCAAATAAAAATCAATGTTATTTTTCTTATCAGATATTGTTCTTGTTTTAAGATTAAACTCACTTAATTTTGATATTCTTTCAGAAAACAAGACCTGATTGACTTAAGCCAGTTTCCATTTAAATGTATTTCGATTTAAGTATGTTTAGATATTTGTAATGGAAAACTAGACAAAAATACTAAATAAGAAAATATATATTTTTTAGAATATTTAAAATCTAAAACTATAAAAAAAAAGGTCACAAATTTTAACTTTAACTGAAATAAAATATAAAAAACTACAAATATAAAAATAAAAACTAATTCAAAATATTAATAAAAACTATAATATTATATAAATGATACTAAAATAACACTGGACCTGAGTATTAAAAATTCCTTTGGTAACACTTTACAATAAGGTTCATAAGTTGACATTAGTTAACTACTTTAATTAACATGAACTAAGCATGAACAATACTTTTACAGCATTTATTAATCTTAGTTAATGTTAATTTCAACATTTACTAAAGCATTATTAAAATCAAAGGTTGTGCTTGTTAACATTAGTTAATGCACTGCGAATTAACATGAACTAACAAATAAACGACTTTATTTTCATGAACTAACATTAACAAAGATTAATAAATACTGTAATAAATGTATTGTTCATGTTAGTTAATACATTAACTAACATTAACTAATGGAACCTTATTGTAAAGTGTTACCATTACTTTCATTGGTGTGACATTATTTATTCAGGTTGATTCTGTCACATTAAAACACATTTTTACTTGAATATTTTACTAAAATAAAACCAAATTCAACAACATGAAATGCATTTAAGGTTAATGTAACATCATCAGGATTATCAAACAGTCATACCATGAAGTGTAAGATTATCAGAGGCAAAATGGCTGAAGATGTAATCCAGAAAGAACTCTTGCTCAGGAAGTGATCTCATACAGTCTCCACGCAAAGCATGATAGAGGATGTTTCCGAAAACAGCATCCAGCTCTACGTGATGATCATCGCTCTCTTCCAGGATGTCTTTTAGTGAAAGACAGGTCTGAACATGTGGACAAACAAATGACAGATGTGTCTTAATGACCATGTTACTTATACATAGAATGATTAGCACTTTTAGTTTAACCCTACATTGCGGTTACTGACCTCATGTGTGACTGGCTGATAGTATTTTTCCATCTCATCAAACAGCTGCTCCAAACCCTCATATTCTGTGGCACTGATCTCATTATGACTGCTGGTGGTGTTGTCATGGCCTAAGATCATTTGGATGAAGTGATGGGTCTCCTCAACCCAGCGGCCCTCCTGTACGGCCCCGCAGGTCTCTAGCGGAGCGCTCAGGAACAGACAGCATCCAGGGGCCATCGTGAAGAAATCCTCCATCTGTAGCCCCTGTGAGCTGCTGTAATTACTCAACAACTGGTGCAGATGTTCAACAGACAGGCACTGTATACAGGAGAGAAAGAGAGCGATTTCCAGATTTCTGTGTATGAAATATGAAGGAGTCTAATATATCTTAAGTTAAGCAAAACTGGAACACATTTGCAGTTAAAGCTTGTGTGCCAAATTGGCTTTCAAAAATGTGAAACATACTTCTTGTGATGAAGAAGTCATGAGATGTTACATAAAATGTGCTTAGCTGGTAGAGACAAATCTTAATGATTCTTAAAAAGGTTTAATTTTCTTTAAAAAATAAATAAATAAATAAAAACAATTTCTTAACAAAAACTATTTTTATTTTCTGAGGTAAAATATGAGCTGGACATGTTCTTGGCACAATGCATGAGATATTCTCTTCATAACAGAACTATAACATGTAATATAATGTCAATTTTTCATTTTTTATTGACAAAAACATGTAGGCACTACCTGGAGACTGTAAAAAAGAAAGAAAATCACATTAAAAGTCTGAAATTCAGGAAAAATAAATGTTGGAATAAGAAGTTTGGAAAAATCTTTTAGTATTTTTTTTTTAATGTATTATTTGTTTTGTTTTCAACATTTTTATTGTTATTAATATTTGGCAAACTTTTGTCCAGAATCAGTATAATGCAAACAACATGCCAACATTCAGGAGGCCATTTTTATTTCTACGTGACAAACAAAAAAAAAAAAAGGCACTGCCTGGAGACTGTAAAAAAAGAAAGAAAAATCACATTAAAAGTCTGAAATTCAGGAAAATTAAATGTTGGTATTAGAACTTTGGAAAAATCTTTTAGAATTTGTTTAATGTATTATTTTTAATTTTTGTTTTCAAAATTGTAATTAATAATATTTTGCGAACTTTTGTCCAAAATCAGTATAATGCAAACAACATAACATTCAGGAGGCCATTGTTTATTTCTATGTGACAACAAAATCAGTAGACCCTCGCTGCTGTATGTCATTAAAACAATTTTTTCTTCTTTTTTATTAACAGGTCTTAAATACATATATATATATATATATATATATATATACATACTCACCCACCATGGTTCCCGCGCCGGAACCTGTAGAAGATTTTTATTAATCCAAATAGGAATTGATCAAGTATAATCAAGGCGAATCTAGCCATTAATATATCCAGTTATACTTCCATTATAATCCCATATGCCTGTGTGTAAAAACATGCCTACGTGGCAGAAAGTACAGACCTCAGATGAGAAACATCTGGAAAAAACATAAGTGGGGGCTTTCTT